GGAAGAAGCCAACATGGGCCAGCCAGAGGAGAAGCAGATCGTCGAGTCAGACCCTATCAGATCCAACAAGGCACTCCGACCCAAGGTTGGAGGACGTGCAGTGGAATATGTTCAACGCCTACGCAAGAACCTCGGCCACTGTGGAGCCAATGTCCTGACTCGCATGCTTCGAGAGGTGCAGGCCACTGACGATGCGCTGAGGCTGCCCAGAAGTACCTGTGTCCCCTATGCTATGCCCGAAAGGGGCCAAAGCAAGCTCCACCAGCATACAGAGTTCAACGACAGATTGCAGGTGGATTCGCACTGGATCCTGAATGAAGATTCCACCGTCAAGGTCCACCAACCTGCCCCTGGAACGCCTACAGCTGAAAGGAAAGAAAGGAGAAAGCCGGAAAAATTCCTCAGGGGCGACGATGTGTTCTGACAGTGGTGGATCATGCAACCCGCTACTGTGCAATTCGAGTTCTGCACAGCGAGACTGCCGCCGACTTCGCCAAGGGTGTTGAGCGGTGCTGGTTGAAGCGCTTCGGCGTCCCGAAGATCCTCCAGATTGACGAGGCCAAGGGATGGGCATCAAAGCGTGTACGAGAGTGGGCAAGCTCTCGAGGAATCACATTGGAGGTGCAGGCTGGGTGTCGTGGAGAGAAAACATCAGGTAATCAGACGATGTCTCGAGCTCTACCAGGACGAGATTGGCAAGCGTGACGCTGCAGCGCTCAAGGAAGCAGCCACCTATGTTCCCCATGCCACAACCAGCTGAGCTTCCACAAGCGATTCAGTCCCCAGCAGTGGGTCCTAGCAAAAGCCATGACGCATGTCCATGGGCTTTCTGGTGAGTCTTCAACCCAGGACAAGAGGCGTTGGACGAACCAGGTGTCTTTTGCTGACATCCAAGCCAAGCCGCAGCCGCTGGTCGCTGCAGTTGGGGCGAGCCTTCAACCAGAAATTCCAAGAGCAGCAGGAGGACCTCGTGGTTGGACAGCAGTGCTGGTACTGGCGGAACGCCGGAGCTGGAATCCTTCGCAAGGCTCGTTGGCGTGGACCAGCGAGTTGTCGCTGTCGAAGACAACGGTGAGGCCAGGGTGCTATGGTTTTGCGCCACGGAACATCTCTGGTTCGCTGCGACACCTCAACAGGTTCGACCTCTGGTTGAGGAGCGCGGTGCCTTTGTCCCTGTCGACCGCAAGCCCGCGATGGCGGGTCTGGAGGAGCTCAAGGCACGTTCGACCACACAGTACAGAGATGAGATGAGGCCGACTATGAGCCGGAGAGCTATGATCCCGATGATGATGGTCGAGATGAGGCAGACAGTGATCCTGGAGTTCTTCGCGGAATTGTTCAAGCCACCCTGCCCAGGCATCATGAAGATCGAGAACGGTCTTCTCGACGACATCTTACCACCGTCCGATGCTCCTACAGCACTCGCAATGGAGCCTGAGCCTGATCGTCCAAGAGCTGCTGAGAGTTCGCCGAAGCGGAAGCATCATTTGGGCAATGCGGAAGCACCACCAACAAACAGCACGCGCGCTGAGCCATCAATTCCTTGGGCAGCGGCAGCCTCTCGACCAGAAGAAGTTCCTGTCCCTACGGACGAGCTGGTCATTGACGATGTTTTTGTGGTGAAGCCCTACCAGAAGGCTGGCGAGCGGTCAATGGAGAGTTCGAGCTCGATGAGATCTACCTTCAGCAGAACCTTCGTCGTGGTGAAGTCAATGTGCGAACCCTGTCACCAGAGGAGAAGGCAGAGTTCATCCAAGGCAAGTGCAAGGAGCTCGAGCAGTACTTCCAGAACATGGTGTGGGAGTTTGCCACCTCTCAAGAGAGCAAGGAAGCGGTACGCTCGAACCGCATCATCGCCGCCCGATGGGTGCTGACATGGAAGAGGACCAACAAAGATAGTCCTGATGAGACTCCCATTTACAAGGCTAAGGCCAGGCTGGCGCTACGAGTTTTTGAAGACCCCGACTTGCTGAACATCAAGACAGCAGCGCCTACGACAAGCCGCCTGGCCCGCTTGTTTTTGCTGAGCGTTGCAAGCTGGGACAAGTGGGAGCTCCTGTGTGGAGATGTCAAGGCAGCCTTCTTGTCTGGCAGTGGCTTTGACTGGACCATCGATGTGAGACAAAGGACTGCAACCCTTTGATCGGTGATGCTCAAGTGGGACCCGAAGGCTACGTGTACATGAAGCTGAAGAAGTCAGCCTACGGGTTAGCAGACGCTTTCTTGATGTGGTAGAAGGAAGCTCTCTCCCGACTGACATCAAGAAATTGGAAGGTGCATCCGTTGGACCAATGCTGCTTCATGCTCACGGACACGGTGGACGGCAAAGAGACCCTCAAGGAATGCTGGTGATCCATGTCGACGACATCTTGATCACAGGCGATGTCCACAATGCCAAGTACACGACTGCCATCAAGAACCTCCAGACGGTTTGGGAAGTGGGAGAAACTGTCGAAGGAGCAGCCCATAAACACTGTGGAGGCCAGATCTACAAGACTGACTATGGCATCGAGGTCTCGTATGCCGAGTACATGAGGAAACTATGCCCCTCACCGCAGATGAGATATCATATGAGCGCCAGTGAAGTAAGCAAGTATCGGGCTCTGATTGGCGCCCTGCAATGGCCATCCTCTCAGGGGCTTCCAATGTTGTCAGCTTCGATCTCACTTCAGGCTGGTGCAGTGTCAAAGGGAACAGTCCAAGACATCCAGGAGCTCCACAAGACTGAGGTTTGGTAAGAGCCAGAAGGATGTCCCCATCAAGTTCTTGGCAAAGCCCAATGAAGAGACGAAGAATGGCTTCGAGCTGGACAACATGACCCTGGTCTGCTATGCCGATGCTGGGTTTGGGACGAGGCGAGATGGAGCTTCACAGGGAGGTTTCATCGTCATAGCGTGTGAGAAGAGCTTGCGTGATGGAGCCAAGGTGCCAGCAAGCACTATCGCGTGGCGATCGTTCAAGTTGCCGCGAGTTTGCAGAAGCAGCCTATAGGAGCAGAATGTCAAGCTCCTCGTGGCGAAGACGTTTTTGGGGATCCTCAAGAGGCCTGACCAAGACCTTCGAAACGTGAAGAATGACCTGACTGGCATCAGCGCCATGGTGACAGACTGCAAAGCTTTGCGCGATGCAGTACATCGTGAAACCATCCAGCAGCAACCGACAAGGGAGTTGCAACCGAGGGCCTGGTGATCAAGGACACCCTTCGAGATCTCAACTGCAGTTGGAGATGCCCGACAAAAGTGAGTGCAAGACAGGCCTTCTTCGAGCGCTACAAGGGCCACTATATCCAGCTGGTAGCTGATGAGAGCTATCAAGCTGCCAAGAAGAAGAGCCAGGCCGAAAGGAGGAAGACTGTGCAGGAAACCCAGATGCCTGCATCCAAGGTGATTGGAATGGTCATGACGACCGGAGTGACAACGGCAAGTGGAGAGGTCAATGAGACCAAGATGACGGAGGGCGCCAACAACATGGTGCTGTTTGACATGGCGATGATCATCACCATCTTGATCGGCGTCCTCACTATGGGATGGATGATCTACAGCTTGAGCTACAAGATCCTCAAGAAGAAGGGCAGTGACTCCGATACGGAGGAGGAGCCAGTACGTGAGCTGGAACCCATCACCCATGGAGAAGATGAGGATGTGATGGGCAACATCGTCAACGACCTGTGGGCGAAGAACGACAAGCTGAAGACGCAGGTGAAGGAGCTGGAGAATAAGGCGTCCTACCTGATGGGCATCATCCAGAAATGAGAAGAAGGAGAATGGCATGAGCATGTTCTCAGGCATGCCTCATGAGGTGTTTACGACACCTACCGGCTCGTGCTTCCACATGCGCGTGGACTGCGGGCACATTCGTGATGACCGCCAGAGATGGCGACTTTGCAAGAGTTGTGGCCATTAAGTTGGCCTGAGGTTGAAGCTCCCTCTTTTTCACCAGTGTAAAGTGTCACTGACACTTGTCATGAGTTGACATGGCTGTCTGACTTGCCGCAGCCGCGGCGGGACTTCTTGAGAAAAGGCAGAGCTAAGGTCGGCCGCGCCACTCTACCCCCCGGGGTAAATACCTGGGTTCTCTAACACGTTAGAGCGACAGCCATAGCTTTTGTGGGATTGGACTTCCGTGAACCTGTTGCAAGGAGAATGCGCTTTTGCAGCTCCAGCTTTCCAAGGATAATCAAAGCTTCGGCCCCAAAGACAATCAAGAAGCCACGCCGTGCCATGAATATTGAACACCACTCATGTGAATCAGATGAATGGTCATTTGCACTTCACTTGCTGGAAGGTGACGTCTTGTTTGCATCATCGAATGCTTTGTTTGCGCCTTTTTGATCAGCTGTTTGATCAGCTGCATGCTCGTTGTTCACCTCCACGCCGGTCTGAATCACCTCAGGTGTTGAGATTCGCAAGCCGCCTTTGGGAATTCGAACGACGGATCAGCAGTCCGTCCAGGCACGGGGGAATTGTGTTTCTTCGCCGATGAAAATCATTTGGTTGACATCAAGAGGGACCATCCATTGATGTCCGGTTAGTTTCGGAGTTTGCTTAGCCATCCATTGATGTGGTTGTGGCCATATTGTCCCAGGGGGAGTTGTCCCTCTTCGTCTCCCGGTCTCACAGACCTATATCCGACGATTCCGGTTTCGGTTGGTTCTTCCTGCTTTCACCCCGAGTCGTAGACCCATCGCTGGCCCCCTCGCTCACGTCTCGTTCACAGGGTGATTGACGCTTCAGGCCGTGAAGGAGGGCTTGGGTGATGGATGGCTTTCAAGCCTGGACCGCTTGCAGTGCGCCTCTGAGGACCGCCAGCACCGGGTGAGCTGCCGCTTTTGGGCGGCTGTGTGGGTTCGTGTGTCACACTGCCGGGGAATCCCGCAGATTCTTGCAGGCTGGCTCAAAAGAGCAAACATTGGGAAGAAGTAAGTCTTAAGGAGGATGTAGAAGAACCACCAGCAATGGATGTGTTGAACGAATCTACGGGAGCAGTAGTGCGACGTCCACTGAAGGTCCATCCATTCAATTCAAAGCATGCAGTCGGAATGGCCTCGATCAAGCCGCATGCAGCGCGCCCGAGTGGTGCAGTCTGAAGCTCAGCACGACTTCTTCCTTTCCAATCAAACGATGTGACACGTTTTTTTTTCTTATTTTTTTGGCCGACTGCCAACTGCACTGCTCAACGTCTGAGGAATCCCCAAGAAACTCTCCCATCCCATCTTGTTCCGGATGTCCATGGAGCTTCAGGAGCGCAGCAATCCTCATGATCCTCGCAGCTATGGTGGTGCTGGCAACCTTTCCAGGACCCTTTAAAGATGATGTCATCAATATGAATGATTGATTGGCCGGTCTCTCCATGCAGCACAGTGCAGGAACGCTCGAATTCAATGGAAAGCCAGTCAAACCAGCGGCTGAAGGCCAATCTGTAGCACTTGTGACAGCCAATCCATGCTTGCATTCCTAGTAGCTTCTTGCTCCTAGTAGTAAGGCCAGGAGCCCCTGGTAGTGTCCTTGCTCCTAGTAGCGATGCCCTTTGTTCCTAGTAGCGAACATTGCTCCTAGTTGTGTCCTTGCTCCTAGTAGCGATGCCAGGAGCTCCTAGTAGCTGCCAATCCATGCTTGTAAAGATCAATCTATTCAACCTTAGAGGGTCGACCAGAGTCCACCTCAGGCACCTTGACCGGGCTGCTGATCGCGGTGACGCTGGTGCCAAAGGCCTGGTGTTCTTTACACTAAAAACATCGACCAGAAGAATCTGGAGGATGAAGCTGCTGTGAGTTTTGGGATCTTCTATTTGTGGACCTTAAGTTGTCTTTCTCGATCATTCTTTTTTACCTGGCGTCAGACAACGGCCCGAAGCGACTCGAGGCGCGAAGGGCAGCGCCCGAGCGATGGCTGAGATCCTTGGCCTTGCGAGGTTCGAACAAAGAAGAACACATCTTCATGAGAGGTGGAACTTTCAGCTCTTGGAGTTTGCAACCGAGGACATTTTGTTGCCATTGTGGTTGCAGTGGTGACCCTTTTTGTGTCTCGTCCGCAAGGATTGCATTCGCTGTTCGATGGCACCACTGAGTTTTGGGGCAGGTTTTTCAGTCTGGAGCCTGATACTGCCGTCTCAGGTGGTCACCTACCCCTTCCACATGAAGTTTCTGCCAGCAACTGCAACCTGTGGTGCCTACTGGCGACGTTGGCTGGCGGGCGAGGTGATGGAGGCTGCGAGCTAGCTTTCGCAATGATGGGTAGATCATGTAGGGAAGCGACCACGATACTTTCGTGGTAGTGGTTGATGCAATAGGACGCATAAGGCAGAATGCTGCGGCATTGTCTGACTGGAGGGAAGTTTGGTTGAAAAACATAGGTTGGCTAAAGTTTACAGCTGCCACGAGTGCCTGCCAGGGTGGCTATGAATGTGGGCCGAGGTTTGAATTTGCAGGCAGAAGGGTTGTGGCAGGGTTGGTATTGCGGCTGTTACTCTTGGAACGTTTCAATTGTTGCAGAGAACTTGCTGTTGTTTGAGTCGTACAACACCAACTCTGACAGGGGATGTCTTGACGCTGCTTGGAACTGCTCCTGCTTTGATTCTGGCCGTCTTGCGCTTCAAAACCCCCTCCTCCTACGCAAGAAACACGGTGGCTGGGATTGGAAGTCGTCGGATGCTGGACGTCATTTAGAAATTTAGACATCCTGATGCTCTTTTTTCTTCTACCCAAAATCTGTACCAACCCAATCGAGCTGTCAGACGCGCAGTCGAAGCTGCGTTTAAATCCAGCATTTGGACATAAACATTTGCTCTTTCAATCAGACACAGTAGAGGTGCTTGGTTTATTGGAACTCACACCGACCTTTCTTTTGCTGCTGCGACCAGCGCAAGACATTTTTTGAGGTCTACTGCATCGCCACGAACTGGTTTTGCTTTGTGGTGTGGACATTGGAAGATTTCAGCGATTGGTGCGGCAAGATGAAGGGGGATGATATGGTCTTTGTGGATACTGGTCAATTTTTGGGAGTGCAGGGTAATTGCTGGGCGGTTGATCAACTACAGAAGGGAATTGGTCACATTTGTATTTGTCATGAATGTGCAAGATGTGCTGACGTCCTCACATAGTGCAAGCTGAGAACAAAGCCAACAAGTACTTGGCAGCGCTTGGCAAATTCCTGAGTGCACTGTGCTTTGTTTGGATTGCGGCTTTGGTCCTGCGACGTACCAAGAAGAAACACGGCACACAAGGGCTGAGCGTGAGCGTGAGCGGGGTGCCTGTGGGACTCTTGCTGTACTCCTCACACCAAATAGACTTCTTAGGCTACGATGCACTTGTCACTTGTTACTACTATAAGGATGATACCATAGATTTCATGTTTTTGATGGATGCTCAAGAATTCGCCATGGCTTTGCACATTGGTAATCATTGATGATTGGCTTCTCCTGCCCAGGATGGACAAGTTCTCCAAGAAGCAGCGCCTGGCAGTCTGTGGGCACTTGAACCCCTGGTGGCTGGTGGCGACGATCGCGGTGGGCGCCTTGGTGACGCAGCTGGCGCGCTACGTCCACATCTACTTCGACTCGGGGGATGGCTGGATCCGCGTCAGCGGTGTCTCCGCGGTGCCCTGGCTCCAAACGAGGACGAGCCTCGTCGACGTGTCGAACGACGTGGATATCGACGTGGAAATCGACGTGTCTAACTCGGCCTCCACGACCTCCACCCCGCGCATGTCGATTTATCGACGCATTGAGTGTTTAGAACCCAAATCCGAGCACGTTTGGAGTCTGGGGCCATGGGGTCACCTTGGAACCTAGTAACAGGATACATCTGGTGCATCTGCTGGAGTTCTACACACGCGCACAGGCCGTGATGTTGCCCATCTGGCTTTACTTCGCTTACCTGCACGGCCGAGCCTTCGAGGCTCCGATTTTTCTCGATCCGATCGACCCGTCCGATGTCCGTGGTGGTGTTGCTTGCAACCGGCAAGACTGAAGAGTTGACCATGCCACCGGTTTTTCGAAAGAACTAGGGAACTCGGTGCTGTTCTTTTCGTGGTGAAGAGCTCCAGGCAAATCGAAAGATGCTGCTGGAGGATGGGGAGTTGCCCAGTGCCGTGCGAGTCCAGGCAGCAAGAAGGGAACAATCAGTTGGTCGACTTTGACACCATGCCAACGTGGCTGCGGCTCCAGGTAGAACCATGACGAGAATCATGTGCTGTGCCAGTTGTGCTTCTTCATTGGGTTCCATGTGTGTAACGAAGGGGGATGAGGTTTTCTTCTGCTGTCGCTCCCTACAAGTGTCAAGAAATCACTCCTTGTCTCCATGTTTGAACTCTCCATGTCTCTCACAGGTCCAATGGGCTCTCCAGGTGCTGCGGTCCGAATTGCTCGCAGGCTGGGTGCTGGGTGCTCTGCTGGTGCGGTCCGGATTGAAGAAGGGAAGTTTTATCAATTTTATTCCCAAAAACATCCAAGACATTCCAAAACCAAATCCCAAACCAGTGGATAGAAGACAACCCCTTGATGAATTTTCTCTGAGTTCAAAAGACCATATTGAATACTATACAAGACCGTATTGATTCTGCTAGGTCTCATCTTGGCGATCATCACTGGCGCTCACTGGACACTTACAGGCGTGAGACTGGACTAGCGGGCCAGCAGTTCTTTTTGGACATTGAAAGGCGCACACAACATACAACATAGGGGATCGACCAGACCTATAGTCATGACCCCCAACGGAATAGACAAGATAAGATCGACAAGGCAAGTCATTACCATTGAGGACTCTTTTTTTGGGCCCTTGGTTTCGATCTACTTGGGCTGGGCAGCGTGAAGGGTGGCATACGGATGAAGGGTGGAGTTGGAACACTGGGCTGCTACGGCGGGCTGCTATGGCAAGGGTGGCTATGGCGCTTTTGATTCTAGCTACTAGTAGCACATGAGCAACTAGCCATGGCCTCCAACCTCGTAGCTTCTAGCTACTAGGCGCCCTTAAAACTCGACCGCCCACGTCAGCCCAGGCATTGTTGGCCTTTGTGGAGTGGCCAAGTATAGCAAGGTCGGTCGGGCTCGGCCAAACCAAACGCGAGTCTAGGCCTCTGAAACACGAGCAGCTCGCGTTTGGGGGAGAGATTCAAGGCCAAGATTCTACTAGAGTGAATAGGAATTTGCATCGACATGCCACATTTGAGAAGATGAGAGGAGCATATGAGGCTTCTGAAGAACGACCACCGGCCCGCCAGGTCTATTTCATCCTGCTCCATTCCATGAAGCGCATGACTGGTGTTGCAGATGCCTGGGGTCTCCTTATGCTCAGTGGGCTCATGCAGACGCCTCTCGGAGCAATGTCACTGCATGGGGATGATGATGGAACACTAGGCATTACTTACCCTTTATTCTTGACATAGTAATAGAGATGTATAGAGTATAGATCTTGCGGAGCCATGCAAGGCTATTTGTAAGGACCATGACACGCCAGGCACGCGCACACAGGTTGCGTTTCCTTCAGAAGGGCTGAGATGTCCGACGTCTGAACGAGTGGCTGTCGAAGTTGCTACTTATCCCAGCTGCTAGTAGCTCACTCCGTTGCCCACCTCCCCCAAAAAGCTCACTCTCCATCATTGACCATGACTTGATCCTAAGGAACGGTGGCCGTGCTGCCAAGCCTCCTGCCCCAACACGGCAAGTGGCCAACGACAGTCACGAAGCGGCATGGTCTGCCAAGGCGGGTTGACCCTTGTTGTTCCAAGCGGATGAGTTTTCAATGGGGCGTCGGTTTCATCGCCCTTTTCAGTGAGATTCATCATTCATCCTGTTTCGCTTCTAAGGGTTTTGTTGAGGTCGCCCAGTTTTGAGATCGATCCATGTCTTAACATGTCTTTTCAAGGCTTTAGTTGCTCAAATGAACCCCCCACTCTTCCCACTGCTCGTTTCCACCCTCGTGAGCACAAGCACAGAAAAGCACTGCTCCGTCTCTCGACATCTTTCCAGGTTGCAGAGTTGGCCGGCCGCGGCGCCGTCCTCGGGGGAGTCTGCCGCACGCCGTCGTCGGCGGACGGGGTCGCAGACGTCATGGGTGTCGCCGTGTTGAGCGGAGCTGCCTGCATGGCGATCTGAGGACTTAGCTAACAGAGGATGAGACGTAGCTCACAGAGAAGCCACTTCTTGAGATGTAACCTGCCATATGCCCCATGTGACCCAGATGGGTGTCCCCAAGGTGTGCGGCTGGGTGATCTCCTGGACTTCTACCAGCAGCTTCTAGAAGGGGCCCGAGTCTTAGGGCTGAGGCGTTTCGCGGCGAAGACTTGGAACACAGTTCTCCGGACTAGGATTTCTCCACAAGTCCTTGCTGATTTCATTTGATCAATGTTCTTGTAGGGCTCAACTTGAACCAGCTCAAGGCAGCATCTTTTTTCTGGCAGCTTTGCCGACTCAAGGCCATGCCAAGCTTTGATCCACGCTACTCAACCACCAATGATGTGGCACGAGAAGCGGTGATCCCCATGTCGCGAGTGGGTCAGGACATTCCATGGGATGGTCACGTCTTCTTCGTTTTCCCAACTTTTCATGCGAAACCAGGACGGCTTCGCACTGGCCTCTATATGGAACCAACAGTACCTTGGACGACCTTAGCTCGCGTATTACGGCGTGTGGCCACTCTTTGAAACTGTGTCATACTTGCTCCTTGGATGTTCCGGCTGTTCAACGCAGCAAGCTGGCAAGGCAACCGCGTTTGGCGGAACGCATGGTCCCCGGGCTGCAATTTGAAGCTGGCACCGCACTGCATCGTTCAGGTGATGTTCAGTGCAATGGAGCAAATATCGGATGTGCTTTTGAATGCCCTTGTTACTGGTAGCTTCTAGCTGCTAGTAGTGATGAACTTGTTACTAGTAGCGATGCCCCATGCTAAGAGTAGCTTCTTGCTACCAGTAGTAATGCCCTTGGTACTATAGTAGTGAGTGCAAGCATTTGGGTCATTTGTACTTGGAGCTTAGGTGACCCACAATTGGGGAAATCGCTTCTCTCACTTAGCATCTTGGCCAGAATCGCTTTGGCCTTTGGAACGAACTGAGTCCTCATGCATGGATTGTGGCACCATGGGCAACGCTGCTGAGTGCCCACAATTTGGCAAACAAATCAAACCAAATAGCCAGTGGCGAGAACCAAGTGTGGCAAAAAACGCCGGACGGGCGAACACCGGTACAACGTTCTTTCGATGGTTTTCTTCCAAGGTTGCTGCCATCATTTCGGATGCCACCGGCTGCGACGCTGAGCTGCAAGCCGTGAAAGAAGCCGTTGGCGTCGTAAAGAAGCCGTTCTCCGCTTGAAGAAAGAAACGCAGAGACCCGCAGATGGAGCATGCTGAAGGCTTATTTCGCAGATGTGGTGGCATCTCTGGAGAAGTTGAAAGACTTCCAGACACTCAAGGCTTCCCTTGAGGACTCGGAGAAGATCGATACCACTTACTGGGTGTGTGAATCTTGGCTTCAGATAACTTCAGATATCATTCTTATTTTGATGTGTCGTCGTTTTCTTGTGCCAATGTCCGTAAGGTTTCGGTTCGGTTGGAATCGGTTTGAATGTGTAATTAAAACTTCGAATCGGTTCGATTTGGTTGTAGAAGTATTTTTTCATGGACTATCCGTCGGTTCGGTTCACGGTTCGTTCGGTTCTGTGAGGCATAAGTTACGCAGTGGGGTAACGAAAAGAAACGCAATGATAAAGAGACAAGACCAACTGGACTATAGACAAGACAGGACAGGACAGGAGCAAAAGGGAAAGCAAAAGGAAAGGAAAGGCATATATAAGGAAAGGAAGGGAAAGCAAAGAAAAGGAATAGAAAAGGAAAAGCAGGGGGAAGGAATGCAACTTGTGAATAGGCTTTTCCAGGCCTTCCAAAAAGCGTATTGGAAAGGACAGCAAAGCAAAGGAACGGGAAGAGGACAGGTAAGGTATGCAATTTCTGAATATGCTTTTCCAGGGACTTTTCCAGGCAGCCTAAAGGCATATTGGAAAGGAAGGGAAAAGGACAAGGAAAGGAAAGGACAATGTCACGGAAAGCAACGGAAGGAAAAGGAAATGGACATGGAAAGGTAGGAATGCAATTTGTGAAGTGCATTTTCCATGCCGTCTAAGAAGCATATTGGAAAAGACAGCAAGGAAAAGGAAAGGACAGCATTTTATGAATGCGCCTGAAGCCGGGCTGTGCCAGTGACATGCTGTACGGGCACTCCAGTGGGGGACTGCTGCTCTGAAACTCCAAGACCTTGCGCTTTGCTGATTGACCTCGGAATAGAGCGGAACGGTTTGTTTTTCTTTTTGGCTCGGTTGTACTTGGAAGATTGACGGTTGTTTACATTCGGTTCCTGAAAAACTTCGGTTCTTGACGTTCGCGAACTTTCCGAACCGATTCGGGACCCTTCCTGCAAAGTCCAAGAGATTACTCAGAATCTCACAGAAACCCTTCGATGATTCACAACTTCTTTAGAACAGAAAAGACAACAAGACACACTTGTTGCCGCTTTTCCAAGGAAACTTCAAGAAGTGAGTGATGCTGAGGTCTTCTCTGTGAACCAACACGCCAGCATCTGTGGTGGCTTTGGCCCAGCACCCGAAAAGTCCCACTCCTCGCCGGGCGAGTTCGAGGCCTGGGATGCCAAGCGACGCAACTCCGTGAGCGGCGCAGCTCGGCGGGAGGGAGGGCATGGCCAGGTTTAGGGTGGTCATATGCACCATTTTAGGTCCTTTAGCAGGCTTTAGGACCTATAGACAAGAGCTTCATGTTTGGGAATGATGATTGGCAGGGCTTCATCCCGCCAGTGGTGTTGAGGTCCTTACAGGTGCCAGATAGGTTCAAGAAGGAAGGCTGTGTTGGGTCGGCTAAGGACATCTTCCCCTTATGCCCCTGTGGCCGAAAGAAGTACTTCAACAACGAAGCGGCCTTGACGGAGCTCAACAAATTCGATGATCTCATGAGGCGACTTTCGACGTTCGATGCGCAGGTCCGGCGAACAAAGAAAAACCCTGCCAGCGCAACAGCCAGACCGACCCATCCGGAATGCCCAACAACCACGGATCGACCACTCCACGGATCGGATCGACGTTGCGCCGCCAGGTTTCTGGCTCGGGAAGTGCCAAACTTCGTTCATGTCACCGTGGGTGATGAGAACTTCGAGGTCTTCAAGCGAGCATGGTGTGTGGCTGCTTAGCTTAAGGATCATTGAGTCATTGAGGTATGGCCATGTGCAGAAAAGACCCTGTAAAATGAGGCTCCTGCTCAAGTTGAAGAGGGTAGAGCAGATGAACTGGCACCTTTCAGTGAAGTTCTCCTGCGAGTTGTGCTTAGGCTGAGATCGTAGAAGGAAGTGCGCTCAACATCAGGCCTGCTTGTTCCTTTGAACTTGCGATGGCTACATTTGGAAGCGCCAGAAATCACCAGCGTCACCATGTGTGTTTTGTCAAGAGTTCCTGGATGCTCCAGGCAGAAGTTACTGATGCACTCCACTTCATGTTTGGATGACAATTACGACAAGCTAAAGAGCTTGGATGCTAGTCGCCAACGAATTGCTCTAGACGAGAGAGACCATACATGAACAAGTTGGGGCTATTCAATTTTTTCGTTTTTTGCTTGTTTTTTTCTCCCGTCTTCGTGTGTAAGAGGTAGCTTCGGTCAAGAAATCGAGGATATCCGAGATTGCGAAGCATCCCGAGCTGAAGACAAGCATCAAATATTGTCCAAGATCGACGACATCAAGGAGTACCCCATGCATTCATATGCATTCAATGCCGATGACTCACCGTTAAGAACTGTGCTAACAAGCCAAGCTCCAAAGGATGTTGGTGGACTCCAGGCCAATGAAAGAACAGTAGACAAGATATTAGAAGGTGCCCAAAGTCCTGTAATGTAATTTTTCTGGACATTAGGAAGATGTTTCCAAGAACGGACGCATGAGCTGGATATCCATTACTGTCCAGTCAAGCAGCACGTGTCACTGCCCACAGGGCTTCAACGAATACCTGGGATGGCTGATTTTCGATGCAGATGGCATTTTCAGCGGATTCCTTGATGGAGAGGCCGTTGGTAGTTGTTGAATTTTGAAGCTTGGGCTGTCCAAGAATCAGCGGCTCTTTTGGCAGAGCCTATATAAAATTGAAAAAACATATATAGTACATTTCAACACACATCAACTGCAACGGATGGAATCAGCAGCTACTGCTTGCTAATTGTAGTCCTGTCCTGCTGTAGCTGCGGAATGAGGAAACTATTGAAGATCAAACATGGAATTGCGTGCCCGATGCCAGTGCTAGGCCCGCTTGTCTTTGGTTGGGCGCTTGTCTGTGCGAGCAAGTCCCAGCAAAAACCTGGATGACATGATGACATTCTTCAGCTGAAGACCAGTGAGTTGGAGTAGTCGGATTTTATCATTTTGTGGCATGCAAGTCAGCACCAAGTCCTGACTTTCATGCAAGTTGTAAAGGCATTTCTTCGCTTTCCTTTCATGCTGTAATCACAGACCAATGTCGATGCCCGACTTTCTGCTGAGATCTAAACAGATCAAAGCGGTGACGTAGTGGGCGACGTCGCAGTCGGGGTGGTCACGAGAGCCACCGTCGCAAGGCCAAATTCACAGCATCCCGACCCATTAAGTGACCGAAGCGGATGCAGCTACAAGCTTTTCAGTAGCGTTGGTTTCCCAACTCAACGGGGGCAACACAAAGTTCATGAACGTTCTGTCTGTGCTTCGGGGGCGGATTCTTTATCTTTGTGAGAGATCTGTCACGGTTCAAGGGCTCTGGGATGGTTGTACAGATTCCCTTGCACAGCGCATTGCACAGCGCATTTTCCAACAAATTGATAACTTGGCAGGTGTATGTGGTCTTTCCTGTGTTGGACAGACTGCACTTGCATAGAATGCACCTGCTCCAGTCAAGTAATCCCCTTTCTTAGCTTCTTACAGAGGTAGCGAGGGAGATGATGTAGAGCAAAAGTCCGCGTGCCAGCTTCCCAAGATGTTTACAGCATGAACATCCAAGCTCAAATTCAGATCAATTGATGAGAAACACTGCCATCCTTCTTTGCTTCAATCCTGCAGGACAAGGATCCCATAGTAATCGATGGCAGGAAACTGATTTGGGAAGGCTTTTATACTGTTTGACGCTGAGATTGCCCTTTGTGGCTGTGCCTGCGCAAGGTGTCAAGATGAGGAGTTATGCATTTCTGTGTATATAGCTTGCATTTATGAAAGACCATTCGCCATGGTGTAATTTCTGTCTGAAACCAACCAAGAGAGAGAACTACGGACCGCTCAGACGAGCACCAGCCAGAGCATTTCAGCTGAAACGAGCTGCTGAAACGAGCAATTCTAGCCGAGGCCGCTGACACGGCGGATGATGCCCTGGACTTTCGAATTCTAGACGTCCCCAGCTCAGAACATGGGACCAGCGCAGTGGAGCAGAGGCTCGCCGATGTGAGGCGGGCGAAATCACCATTGATCCACTAAGGCGAAATCATATCGCTCAAATGTGGATGTGTCTGTGGAGTACGTGATGGGTGTGATGCTCAAAAGATGTCCTTCTTTTTTTCAGCTCCTTAGCTGGGGCATGTTGTCCTCCCAGCTGCATGCTCTGTGCTGTCCCTAAACCCTAAGGGTTTCAGTGACAATATGTCTTCAGCAGGTCAAGATGAACTCAAGAATCTACCCTCTCAGACAAGCACGTGGTCCCTTGCTACTGAGGTGATCGGCCACCAATGAAGGCCGGAGCCTTGCGGGGCCGCCGGCGGGGTTTGTGACTTAGAGCTCTAGGGAAGGCAGTGGTTGCTGCAGAAAACTCAGGTTGGCTTCTCTTTGGTGCTGTTGCCAAAGGCAGGGCACAAAAGTCGGTTTTTTTTTCACTCAAAAAAGGCCTTGGCAAGGATGCTCCCTGACAGAAAACACATGGTGCGTCGCTTGCAGCACCTTTCCTCGACCTAAGTCGACCTGGTGACAGAGTGGTCAAGTCGAACCATCAGTTTGTGTTTGTCGAACATCCGGACTCCTTGCTGGATTCGAGTTCGGACTCCTGGGACATCCGAACTCAATCCTTTCAACCGGCCAGAAGATGATGATGCCACGCGCCAGTGATGATAGGCAGGGCGCGAGCCGAAGAAGAAGATGCGCCCCCCGATCCCCGAAGAAGAAGAAGAACGCACCAACAAAGAGGCAACCCGGGTCCTCTGGCATCCCACCGGGAACCACCGCCCACTGGAGCACCAAAAGCTGCAGGCTGCTCTTCTTCGCCTCGGAGTTCCAGGACCTGGGCTACCGCGAAGCTGTGGCCCAGGAGGCTCCCAGCCACGCCGTGGATCGCCAAAGTGCGATGATTTGGAGGTACAACCTGGAGGCGTCGGGTAGACGGACGCCGTTGGGTGGACGGTTGTGTAGCCTGGAGAGATGTGTGGAGGTCATGACGACCTTCGAGCCGCTGAGGAAAAGAAAACACAATAATACATCTATAATCATGTATGTTTTTACCCCAGAGAGCCAGTGAGCTGAAGGGAGAGGATGATTTTTGTTTGCATCCTGAGCGACTGCGCATCGAAAGTAGCGACTGAGCCAGAGCAATGTTTGAAGCATGCATGGACATGCATGGACAGCGCTTGTGCGGTTTGTATCGATGAGTCGATCATGCAGATCGACGAGTCGAGGACGTCTTCTTCATGGAGATATGTTCTTGAAGACTAGAAAGGACTCCAGAAAATGAGGACTTCAGGACTCTTCTTGACCATTTCCTCTAGTAGAAACCCTTCTATTTGTAAGTTTTTTATTTCTATTTTCCTCTTCGGACAGGTGCTTCCAGGGAGAGAAATCCGTTCGGAGCTGAGAGTGGAGTTCTTGCTTTGTGATCTTTGTGATCTTTGTCCGTTGGTCCTTGAGAGCTCTTTTCCTGATCCATGATGCAACAACAAAAAAAACCTACCAGGGGCTCCTGGCCTTACTACTAGGAGCAAGGACGCTACGGACGGGGCTCCTGGCCTCAATACTAGGAACAAGAGGACGCTACATCCGAACTTTCCAGGACGAGAGTCGACTCTCGGTCGGTTTACGCCTTGAAACGCCGCAGGTGTGCATGTCGATCCCTCCGTCCCTCATCGATGGCGAGAGTGGTTTCGGAAAGGCATTGAGGCGACCGAGTTCACGCGAACGGATCGGAGGACGCAGGACGCGGCAGGAAAGGCAGTCAGAAGCATTTTGAATATCTCAACTTGTCACAAGTCTAAAACCGAACCTGCATCTGAAGGAAGATGTTGCCCCAAACACTGGGGGCTTTGGTGCGGTTGGAGCAGATGTTTCGCCACCAAAGCTGGAGATAGACCAAGAGAGGTTAAGTGACTGTAAATAGGACCCCACCTCAGAGTACCTATGGTATAGTCGAACGTTCGGGTCCTTCCTCTGGATGTTTCGCCACCTGAAACATTCGTTCGGAGGCGTGGAACGATGCCTTCTCGTTCCATGCGCACCAAGTCGTGAAGGGCATCGTACCTGGAGACAAGGCGGCTTGCCAGTGTGCATCGGGTCCTTGCGAGCGGCATCGTGCAGTATATCTGATTCCTTCCATTTTAAGCAGTTCTCTATATCCCCCTTGGTATTTCCTCTAAAGAATCAGCCAACTCGGGTTGTCAAAAACAGGGCAATTTTTTAGAGAACACCATGCATTTTTTAGAGAACCCCATGCATTTTTTAGAGAGGCAGCGGAGTGTGATTCTTTAGAGGTGCACTTTTTGCCACGCGCTCGCATCTTTCAGCCTGGAGATCACTGCCATTGGCATCCAATGTCAATGCCTTTATTGTCCTTTATCAAAAGTGAGCATGTCATAACATCACAATGTTCAATGATGATCACTCTTCATCACTCTTCAAACATTTTCCTATACTTGCAATTATATGCATATACTGTCCTGTGAAGGAGATTGTTGGATATCGGATATTGATGGATATTGTTGGATATTGTGTGATATTGTATGATATTGTTGGATGTAAAGCCAAACCATTCAGCATCAAGTGGAAATATATGAGGAATGATGAAGATACATGATATATATGATATTGTATGATATTATCGGATATGGATGGTTGTGTGCTGTTGTCATCATAGACTGGTACCGGTGTTCTGATTCTTTAGGGGGGAGTCCGGGTGTCACAGGTGTGTGCGCACTGTGCTCAAAGTGTCCTGATTTTTTAGGGCCAGTGTCCAGTATGTGTTGGCAGAGTCCTCATTCTTTAAGCTGGCATGTTGGAGTGGGCACTGTGGATTGAGCATTCTTTAAGGTGGCAGGGGGGGCAGGTGGCAGGTGGCCCTCTAAAGAATCAGACAGTCCAGGAGGGTGGGCGAATTCCAAGGGGGATTTCTCTATATACTATACTAGTATTATATATATATATATATACGTTTGGTTCCATAGATTTATTGATGGACCTGATGGGCCAAGGGCGTGGGTTCCATGCTCAGCCCCAAACTCGCATTTTCTTTCTTTTGATCTGGCGTGTCTCGCCACGCCAGGATTGGCCCGAGGACTAAAGAGCTTTCCACTCGAAGCTTTTTCACGTGGATGACGGAGATTACAAGAACTTTCGGGCATTCACTCAGCGGTGAAAGCAGCGTTTGCAACAGCAGCTTCGCTTCGGTTTTGGACGGCTCGCCGTCCGCAGGATTATGACATCTCAGATGCTCGCTTTAGCACCATCTCTTGGGACCTTTCAGGCGGTTCCGCCGCGGGTCGTCGGAACCGGGGGAGAGAGCTGGAGAGCTGGATCTATCTGAATTGAGAAGAGCAACAGTTGGCTGTCACATTTCATCAACTTGCCCTGGCAGATGAAGTGGTGAGTATGGGCATTGCAAAGGCGCAGATTCCATCGGAGTGAGAAGGGGAGAGAAAACGTCGTGCGCTGGCCAGGAGTAGTCAGCCTTCCAACACAGCCACCTTCCTTCCGTTTGAACATGCGACCATAGTTCCGCAAGATAAAACATCCAAAGCCAACGAAGGCCAAAGGTTTGATCCATGAAGCTTGACGTTTCAGGGAAATGGACCTGACACCTTGGCAAACGTGAGTCCAATTTTGCCCCCAAAAGGGGAGTTTTTTTTCCCGCCTTTGCATGCCTTCGGACGCTGCTCTGGACGAAATTGCTTCGATCCTTTCACGGCAGAGGTGGATCCTCGCAGCGGCGAGATCATCAAGAGTGACATCACGATGGCGAGTGGTTTCGAGCTGAGGACACGAGGTCCACATGGCCGGCCTTGTGGCCGTTTTAGTACCAAAACGATCGGAGGAGGACCATGGAAAAGAGGACACGGTCGATGAAGAACAGTGACATGATGATGATTTCTCACGACTTCTGAGTTCATGTTGAGACCACATGACATGAATGTTGATACCAAATCAACTGAAGAGACCGGACTGAAGCGAAAGCTAATATAGATTCCCCATGATCCTTCAGGGGCCCCCAAAGACCCTTTGGCCCCTTGAATTTCCAGGAAAGGATCCCCTTGAGGGCCCCTAAACCCTGGAATTTTTCGGATCTACCAGTCTGAGGACTTTAAAAACCAGCTCGGGGCCCACAAAAACCCGACGTCCACGGACGACCGGTCTGCAGCTCAGCTCAGGCTGGATCAAGGCATGGCTGGAAGATTTGGATGACTTGGCGCCCGGCTTGACCCACCAGCTGGTGCCGACCTCGTCACCCAGGCGGGAGAATGGCGGGAGCGAAAGTGATCGAGTTCTTCTTTTTATTTGAGCTGTTGTTGAAGGATCTTCCATGATCTTCCTATTCATTTCAAATGTTTTTTTGACTTTGGTTCCTTCAAGATCCTTGACCAGAAACCAAAGTGACACACCCTTCAAACCCTTCAAACTTGGATTTTCAATACTGATCTTCAGCATCTTCCCCAGTCGCAAAAGACCTTACATCAAGCCCAACGATCTTCAACGAGCTTCGCCAGGAAGAACGGTCTTTTGCAGCAAGGCCAGGCACGTGTCGAAGTGGACGAGGACACTTCGCTCCAGGTTTCACACATTCAAAGGGTCAGCGGTCAGGCGGTCAGGCGGTCGTCAAGAGGTGAGACGTCTCTTTTGTTTCTGCAGCATCTGCGACACGTCTCGCCCACAGTCCATCCTCGCCTCGCACGGTCGGACTGGGCCTTCAGGGGCAAGACTCAGAGCTGGGCTCCATGGGCTTCGGCTAGAACGAGGTCACGGCCTGAGTCGCGGTCCTTGCGCCCGGTCCGCGGACTGGCGGTCCGGACTGGCTGAGGCGAGAGGAGACGCCTTGGCTTGGTCTCACGAGGTGGTCTGAACGCTTCGCACCTGGAGAAGCTCTTGGGCGAAGGCTTGAAATCCATTGTGCCTGGGATGAGAAGTTGGAGGGTTTCCAATCAGGGAGCCTGGAGCCTGGAAGAGGTCTTTTGAGGAGCACGAAAGAACACCATTGGATGTCATTGGAAGCCCTCCACTGAAAATGTGAAGCCATCCATGAAGTCATCCACTTAAAAATATCCACTGCAAACGATCCCCTTCCTCCGAGGTCATGCATGAGACGGGCCACATCCTTGGACTTCGGCACAATTTCAAGGGAAGCCTCGGCGTCTCCTTGCAGTGCTTACAGGACCGAGACAGGGACCGGTTCATTCGTCCGAAGCTGTTGATCATGCAGGCACGTCATGGCAGTTCTGCCAGCAGGTTCGATGGTGATTTTTTTGGATACTGATGGATAGATTCTGATAGATTTGGCCCAGCAGGTGATGCCCTTCGTTCTTTTTTGGGACTTTGGTTCTTTTTCTCCAGCCCCCGCTTCCTGCCGACTGCTGGAGAGTCCCGCAGGACAAGGCCTGCACTGCGAAGAGTGGCCTCTCAGCCTCCGTCGGGCTCAAAGGATCGACGTTGAACGAGCACCGTTCGGTGGGTTTTTCTTCGGATCGGAGATCGGAGCCGTTCGGTCTCAGGTCATGGATTACGTGCCCACCAATATCCCGGATGTCGATGATCCCGACAAGGCGGGGAGGGAGGATGTATGAGGCCCTGTGTCCGAAGAGGGAGGACATTTCTCTGCTGAACAAGAATCAGCTGCCAGCCATCATCTACCATTCTTCGTAGTTTTTTTTTTCCAGGAAACTCGGCAGTAGCAGCTTTTGCAGATTTCATAGCAGACGTAGCAGTAGCAGTTTCCAGGTTCATGCTTTTGGGCCGGTCATTGGGGCATATGACAAGCTGGCTATTGCCTTCGGCTACACACCTGTGAAGAAGGAGACTCCAAAACGTGCCGCTTGCTTTCTCGTTGCCTTGATCAAGGAAACTTTGGCACTGTTGTTGTTTGCTGTTTGATTTGCTGCATCTAGTGAGTCAATCAGTTGTGACTTTGATTTATAAACCCTGAAAGTCCGCATGAGTTTTTCTTTTTTTGGTGTGCTTGGTCTCAAGAAGAATCACCACATTTGCACATTTGGGACGCATGTCCACTTGACGAGAGCTTCCTTCTGCCTGAGGAGCACTGGCCCAGAATAGCTCCAGAGCTGCAGAATATCTTGAAAGAGGCTGAGGCCTATGAGGCTCCAACCGGCGAGTGCTTGACCAAAGTTTGGCAAAGTGTTCCAGCAGGGCTGAATAACCATGCAGATTTTGGATATTGTTGAGATTAGGTCAACGCACAGTAAGAACCAACATGATGAAATGAACACGACACGCAGCTGGATAGTTGAATCAGCTGACTTTGGGTGTGTTACTTTGTGCTGCCTTTTGAGCCGGGTTGTCGTCACAACCCTGCTTAGCTGTATGAGAACCGGTCACTCTCGGCTCAAAGAATTCATAGCTTTGGAGCAGCCACAGATGAAAGATTCGGTCCCCGCCAAGCAGGTCGACCACACAGAACATATCTGGAGGTTTCCACAGAACATATCCTTACGTAAGACTTTAAGAGGTCATCAGGACTTGTGCGTATGCAAATCCGCAAGCTCAGATACACTCAACTGCCAACAAAGAGCCATCTGCGCAAAAGACGAGCTCGGATTTTTGTTGGACAGTGCCCTGGCATGCCCTGGCCAATGAAACTCAATAACTCAAGAGAATCTCAATCACTTCAGTGACTGAAAAGTGACCTTTCCGTGAACTGCCTTTTTTTCTGCTTTCAACAGGGATCCCAAACTCCCGCAGATTCTTCGATGCGTTGAACAACAATGCCGCTGAGTATGGTGGTCGGTCCGGTGGTGGTTCAGTGGTTACGCTGAGTATGTCAGTGGTCCGGTCACCCAATGAGTTGCACATATGTCATTGAGGTTGAGCTCGGATGTATCCTCGGTGGCTTCTGGCTGGTTGCATAGTGCTTGTAGCTCAAGCTGATGGGGAGCCAGGCGTGGATGCTTGCGGCAGATGGCGAAAGGGTTGGGTCGAAGGGCGAGCGGTATGTGCTGTCCCTGTGACACTTCAAAGGATTATGATGCCTGGGCAAAGGAACAGCCTTCCCCCGCAGTCGGCAGTGCAGGTGTGTTTCTCTATGTTTCTCTCTTCCCCAGGGAAGACCGTTTGATCTCCCAGGAAGGTCGGGAAATCTGGACGAGTGTGAGCAACTCAAAAATAACATAGCTTCTCTGTTACTAGTAGCTACTTGCTCCTAGTAGTACGGCCAGGAGCCCCGCTCGTAGCGTCCTTTGCTCCGTTCGTAGCGATGCCAGCCCCGTTCGTAGCGATGGATTTGTCCCGGCAGGTCACATCTTTGTAGATCCACATTCGGGCCACTTTGTGGACACCTACGGCCGTGTTCGCATCTTCCATGGAGTGAATGCGGTTCTGAAGGCGAAACTCGCGGGGGATTGGGAGGGGCAGGACATGTCAGCAGACAAGATTTTGGTTCGGTTCGGAGCTTGTGGCAGATTTTGGATAGATTTTGGTTCGGTCTCCAGGTCTTGGATGGTAGATGCTTCAGTCTCAGACACACACTCACACAAGGATAGAACGGCCAAGCTGCCCTCCGCTGCCCTCCTTGAGGTGCCACCTTGGCTACCTCAGACGGATCATTTCACATCTGACAACTCACTGGATGCCAAGACGATGGACTTGCTCCAGGAGTTTTTTTTTCCTGTGGATCTATAAATAAGTGCCAACTTCTGCTCTCCATCCAGACTTGTGAGTTGATTTTCGGAGGGTCTTGATTGAGATGGATCGTAACTAGTGGGTTTCTGCTGTGGTCGGCCTTATGTAGAGTAAATAGCGTTCATCTCAGATCCTAAGAGAGCAGGCACCGGACCCTGCCCGACTGCTTTTGACTGTCCACAGATGTTATTAGATAGTTAATAGTTAAGAATAAGTGGAGATAGTTAATAGTCAATAGTTAATAGTTATGAGATAGTTAATAGTTTGATAGATAGTTCTTATATAAGTGGAGATGCCTTCAAACAGAGGTTTTGACCTAGATGAAGGTCCAATTCTGAAGGAGTGGGGCTTCAATGTGGTCCGTCTGGGTGTGATGTGGCCTGGGGTGGAACCAGAGCCTGGTCAAGTGGATCAAGGCCACTTGGTCCCAGCTTCAAAAGCAGAGTTTAGCTGTTTCTGATATGATGTGAAGGCGCCTCTCGTAGCCTGAAAAAGAGGGTTACCAGTTACTACCTTTCAGCTGAGCTTACGACCAGGCGCTCTTTTCACCCTCCACACCTAAATAAGCTGCTATGCTGCGAAAAAAGAAGCCGAGGCTATTTGCAACGCGTCCGCTATGTCGTCGATGAACTGAAGAAAAGAGGGATCCACACCTTAGCTGATCTCCACCAGGACGAACGATGAGTCATGAGTGAAATTTGGGTCACTGCTTCATGGCTGCTGTACATGGATGTGGCTGGTGCTCATGGCTGATAGCTGACATGGTGTAGAACAAAAAGGAAGAGAGGCAATGGGAAGACTACGTGACAATGTGCCGTTCTTAGGTTGGAGGCCATCACTCTTAGTATTATATAGGCTCCTTAAAGTCTTTTTCTTAACGTTTTTTCATATAGACATTTTGTTTTGAGCCATGCGCACGTCACGTCTTCCCGAATTCGCATTCTCCTTGCGTCCTATCATGCCAGGACTTGGGGTCTCGGTACTTCTGTGGTGAGGGATTTCCGGAGGCAGGTTCTCAAACAGAAGCTACTAGGAGCAAAGAGTGGCCAGATTTGGCCCATGATCATTGAACAGTTCCTTCCAATATCGGCTTTCCTCGACTGGGCAGGTCCAGGCGCTTTGAACGTTTGAAGCTGCTTATTGAACGTCATGAGCGTTGCAGATGTCCAGATCGATCCACGTGAGGCTTACGTGGAGGAACTTCTTCGAGATCCAAGCAGCCAGATGTCGCAGGCGCGCCCAGGAACCCCGCTCGCTCGCTGCATCCAGAGCTCTCCTTTGAGCCAGCAGATGACTTTCCTCATAGTTCATCCATGTTCGCAGGATTCAGCCGGAAGCTGTTCAGGGTCGCATGCCACAGATGTTTGATCGCCTTGTAGATGACTTGATGAAGCAGATAGACTTGTAGATGACTCGATGACTTTCTCCTTCTGGACTTTTCGAGATTGTTCGAGTTCCTGAGGTGCCCAGATTTCCACATCCCTTTCCAGATCTTCCGCGGAACGAAAGTGGTGTCCCGAGCCTCCAAGGATGTTTGCAGAGGCACCGGTTTTCGGGCGGACACAGAGAGGATTGGAGACATAGGCTATAGCTTGATGGCAAATCCAGGATTTGAAGCTATGATGTTGCTGCAACTTGTGGTGGAGAATAGAGACCACTTCCATCCAAGAAGTGGTTGACGAACTTGCCATGATTCGCCCCCATCAGTTTGGTTAAGCAGCCGGCTACGCTGCAATGTGGAGGGGCGGCAGATGCACTGAAGGGAGTAATCTTTCTATCATCTGACAGAGGTTGACTTCCTTCTAAATATTTTTTTTGATACTAGTACCATCACCGCGACATCAGGGCTTGGATGGACAGCCCGGCTTTTCGAAACTGGACTTGGTCCAACTCCAGGCTCTTCAGCGAGTACTACAGCACCTACCAAGTGGGTGCTCTCTTCGCTGAGCTCTACCGCTCAGGCCCGGCACGGGTGCGGCGGGCGCGCGGGCGCGCGGGCGCGAGCTTGCACGGGCGGCGTGGGTCGTGTCGGAACGTGTCGGAACCGCCAAGGTTCCAGGCTACAAGATGGTTTCCTGCGTTTCTGGACAGCGATATCCAATGAGTTCAAGGCAAAGGGTTCGGAACGAACCATCCGCGCCGTCTCGGGTGAGCAAGGGGTGGAGGGAGTAGCAGATGGTGCTTCAAAGAGGGGAGATGTTGGTGGATCAGAAGCGCTCAAGTTGCCATCATTGCAGTGGACTTTTCATAGTCCATTTGAGGATACTCAAAGACTTCACCATTCCTCCAGGGTTCCATCATTCCTCCAGGGCCACAACCACTTGAAATCTCTCACGATTCGAATCGAACGGAGGATGATCCGAATCTCTTGGGCTATGAGCTGCTGAATGAGCCCTCAGGCACATGTTTGAAGGCCAGTGGAGACGAAAAGTGAGTGAGCTGCATGCTGGCCATCGGAGTTGACCATGGGGAATGTTTCGCACACATCCACAGGGAAAAGTGTAGTACTGAGTAGTCAAACCGTATATTCTTTTTCGGTCAAACCGGTGTTTGGTTGGAACCCAAAGATATGAACAATCTCCATGCACTCCATCGAGCAATCCAACTTCCAGTGGAGGCGCATGACGCTTTTGCCTGCCGTCTCAGTGGTCATGCCATGCCAGTGGAATTTAATAACAAGGTGGAGGCTGGGAAACGAAGAAACGACACAGGCGCCTGGAAAAGACATGCACCAGAAAAAAACTGCCAGATCTGAGATCATTTCACCATGGACACACGCACGTTTCATTCAATGTCAATTTCGTTTTGGTACAACCAGGAGCAAAGACGCTACTAGGGGCTCCGGGCATCGCTACGAACGGAGCGATCGGACGCTACAACAACCGTTTGCAGCAGTCCTTGTTGTCGGAGTCGAAGTCTCACGGTCATCATTCGGACCGTCGACGCGGTCTGCCCGGGCAGGCCTACTACTTGACGCCGCTCTATCAAGCTGCCGCACGAGCCATTCGAGAAACTGGGGCCAAGCAGGCAACGTATAAGCAGGATCTAGACCTTGCGCAGCAAAAGGGCCTTTTGCTAGTGTATACTATATACAATGCTTTTGGATGCTTTTGGGATATTTCTCAAGCTAGAAGCCTGTGAGCTTCCCTGGGATGAGTGAAGATGGATGAGCCTATATACATGGTATCTTTGAAGGGGTTTAAGTATTGCGGAGGTCCCACTTACCTTGTGACCATTTGTTGGTTCTCAGCATGTCGCCATTTCATCCGGAAGCTGATACGGGCGATGGGCAGACATTGATGCTAATCAAGAGTTCTGCACAGTTCTGCTAGTTAGCTCTGAAGGATTTACAGGACTCAGTCGAAGTAGCCGCACCACCGGAGGTGATCTTCTATGAAGGAACCGTGTGGCCCAAAGTGGGTGCTGATGTGGCTCTGCTGGAATCAAATTGAGTTGAAAAAAAAGTAAGAAAACGGAGCTTCTGAATGTACTTATAAACCATACATCCTGTATTTTGGTGTGGCTTGCAAGATCATGCAAATGTTCT